GCAGTTTCTTATATATCACCTGTCATTTATCTGTGCTTAAAAAAGTTAATGGTTGTTCTATTATAAGTTAAATTTGAGATGAAAAAGATTCCATGAAGAAAAAAATACCTTTCTTTTAACAGTTGTGATACATAGGGTTTAGAGTTCTTTTGCAAAGCAAAAATATATGGTGCTATGTTAAAAAACAGTGAACTTTGCTGGCCTAGTGGAAGGTAGCTGTACTGCAATCCCACAGGCATGCAGTTCAAATCTATTAGCTGCTCTGTGAGAGAAAGATGGACAATCTCCTCCCATGTGATTAAATGCTTCTGAAAATCCACTGGAGGGTCAGCTATGTTTTGGTTCTGACTTGATGGTATACAAGAACAACAATGTTAAAAAAAAATAAGGATATCAATTTCACAACTAAGATGTACCTTGCTCAAATAATGATATTTTCAGTCACAGGCAACTTGATGTCACTTAACAACAACAACAATATACTGTTATTGCTAGGTGCCATTGAGTTGACCACAACTCATAGCGACCCTATGAACAGATCTGAAACTTGTCCTGTCCTGTGCCATCTTCATCATGTCTGATACACTTGAACCCATTGTTAGAAGCATTGTTATGATCCAACTTCTTAAGAGTCTTCTTTTCACTGACCTTTCTTCGAACTTTCCATGTATGATGTCTTTTTCCAAGGACTAGCCTCTTTTAACTACATTCCAAAATATATGACATGAAGTTTCAGCATCTTTGCCTCTAAGGAGCAACCTGGTTGCATTTTTTCCAAGACATGGATACATTGTTCTTCTGGAAGTTGATGGATATCCGATACTCTTTTCCAACACTACAACTCAAAGGTACTGATTCTTTTCTCTCATATTTATTCAATGTTCAACTTTCATATGCATAGGAGTAATGAAAATATCATAGCTTGAATCAGGTGCACCTTAATGACATCCGTGCTTGTTGGCACTTTGGAGAGGTGCTTGTTTCAAACAGATATCACCAATGAAAGAGGTATTTTCATTTCTTGACATCTGGTAGCAAAAGTGTTGATTGCAGATCCATGAAAGATGAAATTGTTAACATCTTCAATTTTTTTATCCATCTATCACCTACTTGTCCAGTGGTAAGATTTTTGTTTTCTTGGTAAGATGTAAGCTTTGATATTTGGCAGCAAGTTTTTCAAGTCCTCAATCCCTTTTCATTTTCTGAAAGCTAGTTTGTGTCATCTGCATAATACAGGTTGTTGATGAATTTTCCTGACATCCTGATGACACATTCTTCTTCACATCATCCAGCTTCATTGTTACTGTTGTTGATTTTAGATGTTGTCGAATATGACTCATAGCAACCCTAAAAACAACAGATCTTAATCATGCCCTATCCTGCTTTATCATCTCTCACATACTTGAGCCCAAAGCTGTAGTGACTATTTCAATCAATCTCATTAAAGGTCTTCTTCTCCTTCATTGAGCCTCCATATTTCCAAGCATTATATCCTTTTCCAAAGAATAGCTCTACCTAACAACATACACAAGGGAACTCTGGTAGCTCAGTGATAAAAAGCTGCACTGCAATTCCAAAGGCACACTGTTTGAATTCACCATCTCTTTTGTAGTAAAAGCAATCTCCTCCCATGTGATTTACTAACTCTGAAAACACATTGGAGGTTCATGGTGGCTCAGTTTTGACTTGATGGCACACAACAACAACAGCATGCTATGTGAGATGAAGCTTCATGGGTCTTGCCCCCATGGAGAACTTTGGCTGCATTTTCTCCAAGACATATTTATTTATTCTTTTTGCAGTCTATGGAGTATTCAGTACTCATATCAAACACCAAAACTCAAACCATTGACTCTTCTGTTATCCTTATTCATTGTCCAGCCTTCAGAATCAGAACAAATGATTGAAAAACACCATGGCCAGAATCAGGCACATCTTAGTCTTTAAAAAGGCATCATTTTTCTTTAGCATTTTGGAGAAGCCTTTGACAGCAGAATTTCCCAATATAACACACATTTTGATTTCTTGACTGCTTGGTACCAAGGGTGTTGTTAGTGGAGCCAAGTAAGTGCATTCACAGGAATTTAAAAATAGAGAAATGCATAAGGATGCCAGAAGAAGACTGAATGTCTTTGAACTGTGTTGGTGGTAAAGAATATAGGATAAAACATAAACTTCCAAAAAGAAAAACAAATATAAATCTATCTTGGGTAAGTATAGCCAGTGTGCTCATTAGAAGTGAAGAGTAGACTTCCTTGCCCATACTTTGGGCATGTTATCAGAAAAGGCTACCCCTTGGAGAAAGACACCATATTAGGTATATAGAGGGTATTGTAAAAGAAGGCAGCCCTCAAGATTAATTGACACAGTGAGCACACTTGTTTACACATAAAGCTTAAGCATAGCAGACTGTGGAAGGTGTAGGATGAAGTAGGGTTTCATTCTATTGTACTCTTGTCCCTTGATTTGTTGGCATGTAACAAGAACATGTTCATTCTTAGGTAGCTTAAAATTTAATATTTAAGCTTAATATTTCATGTTTTCAATATACCTTCAAGTTTACATCTGGTTTAATGTTTAAATTTAAATACTATGTTATACTGAATGATTACCCTCCATAATATCTTTTCTAAGGCCCTTGGGTTTGACAGGAGATTTGTCTCCTTTTGTGATGATTTTTAGAGATCAACTTCATGGAAACTTACTTGCTTCTCTAAAGCCTCTCTTTTCTTTTTTTGGCCTCTCCTTGTCTAATTTGTTTGCATTCAGTCAAGTGCACATGAAGTTTAATCACAGAGATACATGTAGTACATTGTTCAAGAATGATGCTAATCATATTGGGATATCAATGGGGCATGCCAAAATGAATTGCGAATGAAAAACAAAGACTGAGAGTCTAATTTACATATATTTAGAAGCTCCTACTCAATCCATCATTAACAAATCCACTTTTCTCTTTTCTTAGTCAACTTTCTTTCTGACAAAAACAAGTAAAATTTATTACCATTGAGTTAAGTCTGACTCCTAGTGACCTGATGTCAGGTTTCTGAACCTATGAATCTTTAAGAGAAAAGGCTACCCATCTATTTCTCTCAGAGTAGCTGATTCAAACAGTCATATACTTTAGTAATACATGGACATATATTACACTATACCTCCAGAGCTCATTTTTCTCTACAATAGCCCCAAAGAAAATGGGCTAAATTATTTTGTACTTACCCTGATGTCCAGTCTGTGCTGTTTTTGAACATTATTTTTCAAATTTGATGTGTACAAGATGTCAAGGGGGGACTAAAATGCAGGTTCTGATTTCAATATGTCTAAAGATCATGGTTTTCCTTTTCAAACCAGCTTCCAGTTCCTGTTCTGACTCACTTATTTATACTTTCCTTTCTCCTATTGTAAATTTTCTCCTTTCATAGATTATTCTAGGTTCCTAAGGTTGACTGTAACTTATCAGTTTATCTTTTGCAGGTAAGAAGTTGTGTTATTGGCCCAAAGGCAGATGTTTTGTTACCATCATCTGCTCTAAGGAAGAAAACTGGACAACCTTTTCCTGTGTGAATGTACTACCTCAGAAAATCCACTGTAAGGGTCAGCTGTGAGTTACCTGTAACTTTATGCCAAAGAGCTGAGTTGACCTGAAATAATTTCCTAAAATTTGTACCAACTCTTTTTTTAGAAATATCATGCACGTTATATATGTGTGTGCCATTTGGATAAAAGGGGAACCTCCAGAAAGTACCTAATCAAAAATGACAAATGATAGCTGCATTTTCCAATAAATCATTTATATTTTGCACTTCTGTCATTGTGGAAAATTACATTAACAATACAGTTTTAAACATCTGAGCTATCAACTTTTTAATGACGTTTGTAAAACATTAATCAAATTTATGAGGTTACCCCCAAAATATGACATGATCATGTCACATTTTATTCCAAATTCATTAGGCACATTTAGTTTAATTGTCTGAAAAAGAGATGCTGAAGGCATTAATATTTTTTTTCATTTTACCACTGACAGATAGTTATATTTCATCCTTTTACTACCCACAGAGAGAGACAACTATTTTCGTTTTTTCTCTAAAGAAAAAGTCAAGATGATGGGCAAATATATTGCTTCAAAAGTCTTTCCCTTGAAAATGTAATGCTATACTGGCTTATAACAAATTAAAATATTTTATTTAATCTTTAAAATCACAGAGACAGCAGCATTTAGACATACTTCAATTCCTCCTCAATTGTATTTCCTTAATTATATGCTGTCAAAAGTTTTCTTAATAATTTTAAACAAAACCTTCATTAGTTTCCATGCCTTACATTCATGTTGGATAAAGTGATTTCCAGGAAATCACACCAAAATGTTATGCTAACCTTCAAAGATATGACTGTGGCCAGTCTCAGATGGCATCTTGTCAACAGATGTTTCCCCGCCTTTCTTGTCAGAATCTTTCACAGACTCGTCAGACTGGCTCCAAGGGTGACTCTTAAATGTTGGTGAACACAAACTTCGCTCAATTTCCACTTCCTGTTGGAAGACATGAAAGGGATATGTGTTAAAAGCTATCAGTAGGGAACATATGTGGTTTTCAGTGGGTTTAGAAGGCAAGCATTAGAGAGGGAGGGAGTTTCCATCATAAGCGATGTTTTCCAATATGCTTCAGGTTAAATTTTGATAACTTTGCTGAGAATTGCAAATACAATCTGATACTTGGTTTACTTTTCCACCAGAGGTTCCACTTCTGAATTAGCTTTTCTTTCATGTAGCATTCTCCCACCTCATAAAGGGAGAAATTGGAAATCAGGGTCACAATACAGCATAATATATGTTAATAGATGCAGTTTCCTAGGTCTGAAAAATGTCGATGAGGGAATTTAAAAAAATAGCAGTATATCAACATTATATGCTTAAGACAGAAGGAAATGAGTTTTTTAATGTCGTGTTCACCCTATAATGACAATCTTAGCAATAATGGAGCTTCTGAATTGTAAACCAATTCAGCCACCATACAGTAAGTAATATTTATCAATTCATAAACATTCTGAAATGGCTGCTTTGAGGAAGTACTTTAAAATTGCCTGACAAAAAGACCCCTGAAGAAAAAGAGAGGTAGTTTCTAGTGTCAATCTGCTGTATATAGAGTTGCAATAAGTTTGAGCCAACTCAATGTCACCTAACTAAAAAATATTCTTCATTTTGTAGGTATTGTTGGCAGATGTGCCTTGAGGAGAAACTAACCTAAGCTGACACTCCAGCAAATTTTTAGAGGCAGTAAATTACAAGAGAGGCGATTTCTTATTTCTCTCTCAGGAAGCACCTACTTTCAAACTGTGTGCCTTTAGGTTAGTAGCACAATTCCTTAGCACTGAACTACTAGAACTGTTTGTATCTACCAGCTGCTCAGTGGTAGAAGGATGGGCAATCTTCTCCTGCATAATTTACTACCTCTGGAAACCCCATGGAGGATCAGCTATGAGTCAACAAACTACCAGAACTCCTTCAGTTGATTGATGAAGTAATGTTGTTGTTAAGTGCCGTTGAGTAGTAGACAACTCTTAGCGACCCTATGAATGAAAGACCTTAGCACTGTTCATAGAGTTTCTGGAGACAAGCTATTTCAGAAGTGGATGCCACTCCTGCTTGCAGGCTTGTTTTAATCAGTGAGCTCCACCAAACACTGTCCACCATGGGTTACCATTATCGCATTTGGCACAGGAGTGTCACAGTATTTAGCATCAGAGTAACCATGAGTTACCTCTGTACAGCAATGCACAGACCAGTGCTATACCACTTAGAAAAATGTTTGATAAAAACTAATTTAAACCAGGCCTGAGGGCTGCAGATTAAAATCACCCACCTTGGGCTTGATAGCGTAACTTTCCACTAGGTCAATGTAGCTCTTCTCTAATAAAATAAACCAAGCAAATCTAGGTAAATGCTTTGAACATAGAATTGTAAAAGTAAGCAAATGTCTAAAGCCATAGAGAAGAAAAAGTATATTTTCAAAAGATGAGGTCACGTGTTCGAATTATTTTCAATAGCTACTTAGAAGATTTATATTTCTGAATATGAAGCTGTAATTTCTAAGCAGCAGCCGTTCCAAGGATAGTGTGATAGCTTGCTTTTTACTTGTGCTACATTTAAATATGCTGGCATTAGAAAGTCAAGTGTAAAAAACAGCTAAAAGCTCTAAAACATTTCTTCCAGCCTCTTAGAAAATGCTTTCTAATTGCCCATTAAACATGCATAATTTATATCAGTTTAATTACCTCATCTTTAAATACTCCCAGTATTTTTGTGTACTAACTTCATTATTTAACTTGGGATAGGACTAAAACCACCAGTAGGACAAAAGGCAAAGGAAGAAGAGTATCAAGAATCCATTTTTTTCCCTACTTGAGATATTATCTCAAAAAATTATTTTCAACTCTTATGAAAACTCCAAAGGTCAATAATGTGTCATGAGGTTTCATTTTGCTAAAATGCAATATATCCCATGAGAGTGAGTTCTGTTTCCCTGCAAAGTGACATGTTTATACTTGATGGAGTGGTCATTTGTTCAGTTTTGTTTTAGTTTTATCAATTTAATCCAGCAACCAGCATTTGATAAAAATAAAATAAATGAAATAACTAAAGAGAAATAAAGATTCTTTAAAAAGTGGTGATGATTCTCTTTTTTTCCTAGAATATTTATGTTTTGATAAATTAAAGAATTATGAGTATTATCATGTATATAAATTGATGTAGTGGAGAACAAAGTATGTTTCATAGAGAAATGTGAAAATGGGACCACACTTTCAGCAAGGATGACACTGTAATTTATATTAAACTGAAATTACCAGTCTGGGATCCTCAAATATCAACAGGGTATCACAACAAGATCTAAGGAACACCAAAGAGGATCAAAATTTAAATACAACCTGTCATCAATGGGTTCAAATCCTTCTGAAGCAAGAAAGTTCCTTTGGACTCTGACTAGGGGTAAAGGAAACACATAGAGAAGTTAAGAATTCCATGGATAGGTTTGAATTGAGCTGTTGTCAGAGTTGCAATTTGTTTTATGAGCTATGCTTTTCTAAAACATTTAGTTAAATATATAGACTAAAATAAATGAGCCAAATACTAGTATAGCATAAAATGTAGTACTTGAAAATGAAGACTTAAATCGAAGAGAGCACACATGCTCATAAGAGGTGGTTATTATGTCCGTTGAGATAAGTACAACTCATAGTGATGTTATGAAAAACTGATCTGAACTCTCTTCTATTCCATGCTATCTTTATTATGACTTACATACTTGAGCCCATTGACTGTGTCAATTTTTCTCGTTGAAGGTCTTCTGCTAGGTACTCTCCACCTTTTAAAGTAGGTTGTCCCTTTCCAAAGAATAGCATCTCCAAACAACACTCACAAAGCATAAGAGAAGAATCTTTGTCTTCTTGATGTTGAGATGTAATCCATACTGAAGGTTGTTTTTGTTGACCTTCTGCAGCAAGCGTTTCAAGTCCTCCTTACTCTCACTAAGCAAGGTTGTATCATCTTGCATAATGCAAGGTTCCTATCTTGGTGCCACATTCCTCTTCATCACTCCAACTTCTTGAATTTTTTGTTTAGTGTACAGATTGAATAGGCATGGAGGAAGGATACATCCCAGACACACATCTTCCAGGATTTTAAAACATGCAGTATTTCCTTACTCTGTTCTGAAAACATATAGTCTAGATGTGTGTTTCGTGCGAGCATAAGTAAATGTTCTTGGTTCCATTCTTCTCAATGTTAACCATATTTTGTTATGACCGATCCAGTCAAATGTCTTCACATAGTAGTTTGAGCAATTTAAGTATAAGACAAATATATCAAGATTCATGACAGTAGTCAATAAAACGCAACTAGAATTTCTTCTAATATTCTCTGCTTCCATCTGATATCAGCAATAATATCCCTGGTGCCTCTTCTAAATGCCACTCGACTTTCTTGTAGTTCCTAGTCAATGTACTGTTCTAAGCTCTGATTGAACTTTTTGTAGTTCTATTTCAAAATACTGTTCTAGCCATTTTGGATGATTTGTCAGCATGTGATATTAATGATATTTTAAAAATAATTTCCATATTCTGTTGGATTACCTTATTTTGAAATAGTAACAAACATGTATCTCTTCTAGTCAATTGACCAGACAGATATTTTTCAAATTTTGTGGAACAGACTGGTCAGCTCATCCAGACTTTCTTCTGTTAGGTGAAATATGTCAAGTGATATCGCATGGACTCCTAAGTCCTTTTTATTTTTCCAACATCTTCAGTGAAGCTTGAACTTCTCCCTTCACTACCATTGGCTCTTTATCATATGTCACTTCCTGAAATATTTCATGGTTGGCTAGTTCTTTTTGGTATGGTTACTCTGTTTATTCTCTCTGCCTTCTTTTGATTCTTCCTAGATCATTTGAGATTTTTATCACAGCATCCCTCAATATTACAACTCGAGGCTTGAATTTATTTCTCTGTTCTCTCAGCCTGATAAGTCTTGGGTGTATTCTTCCCTTCTCAAGAATTAATGTGAGGTTTAATCAGACATAATCAGATTTTCATTTTAAAACTTCCTTCTGGCATTGTGGTAGGTTTCTAATATTGACATCATTGACATTTTGGAAATGATTTTGTACAATGGCTTATACTGTGCATTGTAAGATGTTAAGCAGAATTCCTAGTCTCTTCCTCCAGATGCCAGTATCACTCTCTGTTATGACAATCAAAATGTCTCCACACACTTCCAAATCTTTCATGATGAAAGAAAAGCTCTTACCCCAGTTGAGAATCACTGCTGGAAAGTGGGCTAAACTGGTGAGAAGTCACAATAAGCATGCATGGTCAATTTTAAGCATACTGTGATCCTAGACAAACAGTGATGGTGTTGGAATAGGGATGCTAAAAGGAGAGTGAACTAACTCAATCCACTTAGTATATAAAACTAGAAGAAACAGGTAATGGATTAAATCAAAGATTTCAGAAAGAGGTAGAAAACGTATTGGAGAGAAAGTGGTAGTTTTTCTTTTTCTTTTGTTGATTTCACTGATGGAATTGAGGTACAATGAGATTTTAAGCATTGTAAAACTGAATATACTTCATATGAGCATATCTGCATGTACACACAGAAACACACACACACACACACACACACACACACACACACACATTCTTCTTCAATCAATTCAGTGGTACTATTAAATGTCAAAAACCATGATGGAATTGATTTGGGACAGAATATAATCAATTGCATACCAAGATATCCAAAAGATAGTTGGATATGTAGTCTTAGAGTTTAGGCAAAAAAGTATAAATCTCTGAGTCTTCTTCCTTATAATGATAATTACTTGAAATGATGGATATTGATGAATTGGTGTGGGGAAACATTACATATTTTATGATGAATAGCAGGCAGAAAACAAAGCCTTAGGAAATGCCAACTGAATATTAAGGCCAAAGAGAATGAGGAGATGTGATGACCAAAAAAACAAACAAACAAACAAAAAG